TGTCCTGGGTGCATTTTTGATGTCCTGAACTTGCACTCAGGAGGTCCTGAGCGGTTTTTAGACGTACCGCTAAATTAACTCAGCGTAGACAACTTATATTGCGAAAGTTAATTGTGCATGACTAATAACACATGTACCGCTTAGAAGCAGACGGTCCAAAATAGGATCGGGAAAAAACAGGCAAGTGAAATATCATAATTTCAAACATTTAAAGTGCCTTTGTTTGATTATCTCCGGTATAAATATCGATAATCTGACGGTATTAGAGTACAAATCCAGACTTTGCATGCTTACATCAGCTAAATCTGAACTTTGGTGGATAGTAATAGTGTAATAGTTGTCTCATTGTCAATCGAACCACATCTCCTTATTTTTATTCTGTCCAGAACCGGGAAATTTTAGCTGCAGTAGGCATTTATTTAAAAAAAAAACACCATAAAGCATTTACGTAAAGAGGCCGTTATAGCCTGAAAACTCATTTTCATTTTTTGGGGGATTGGGGCATTCATCTACCGGTGAAAAAAGGGGTAGGTTGGGGTGGTAATAGCTTACCGTAAGGTTTTAATCATGGTTCAACTTTATTCTAGTGACTGTTTTCCTTGCCAAAGATCAATCTTATTCCAAACGGACGTAACTTTTCAGCAAGGTTTACTGTCGAGCGGGTAAAGGTCAAGATAGGAAAATATTTCTATAATCAAGTCAACACTTTGAGTTCGAATAAAAGGGGATAAGGGTAAATATTGATGAGACAACAACCCAACGACACAGACAATCAAGACATTTAGAGTCAACATGCAGTATTTTATAACAGAGATTTCCCTATACAAAATATCAAGCTAAAAACCGCCCCATGTATAAATAAAGTAAGGAGCTAATTTAATATTACCTATCATTGAAGATATTCCAACAGGCACAGATATATTTTGTGTGGATGACAAGTTTAACCATCCCATTTTTTAATCTCAATCAGTGGAAATCAAAACAGGTACATGAAATAAAAATCAGTACAAGAAAAATACTTCACTATATATTAACGGTAGAGTAGATGATGAACGTGGATGATGGCTTTATGTCCAGCGGCAAATTAAATGCATGCATGTCCTGGGCGAGAACATGTAAATGTTATATGCATATGACCCCTGTTCTAGACCGATACGCTGAGATAGATTTTTAACGTGCTTGTTCACAAGGTAACAGTTCCGCAGTAAGACATGATAGCCACCCGGGCATAACAGTCTTTGTTTTTATTCATTAATGCCACTTGCTTAGCGGAGGAACAGCAAGTACAAATTTTGACGTCTTTGGATTGACCCGGCCGGGGTTCGAACCCACGACCTCCCGCACTAGAGGCAAAAACACTACCACGAGAAATCCGAAGCTGTCAGAAAAATAGAATATCATACCAAAAAACTAAAGTGCAATAAATAATCCAATCTCAAAGAACTCTCACTTTTACTTAAGCTAGCAAAAAGTATTGAAAACTTCACTTGAATATCGATGGTCGACTTCAGAGTAGATTTCATGCACAAACGATTTCTGTAAATAAGGTACTCTTGCAGCAATTGTTTGAGGGATCCGTGTGTGGCCAGCTGTTGCAAGGCAAAATTTCTGTTTTTATCCAATATACCCATATTTTTCAGTGGCATTCCAAGTTACATGTCCATCCTCACAGTCGACCTTTTATTTTTGCTATGAAGGGCCTACCTATTGTATTTATAATTAATGTGTTCTCGTTATGAACATACATGAAATATTTGCCACAGGACGTAAAACAAACAACAATTATCAAACAATTTCATAAATAATTCCTTGTAAACAGAATACGAAGGAAAGATATTGCACAATGCTATAAAGTTATATTTCCATATATATGTTTCGATAATTATGGAAACTTTAACGGCCTTTTTTCAGTTTTCTCTTTGAAAACCACTACATGGATAAACAGTAATATCTATTTCTTTTTTAGATTTTTCTTTCGTTCTTAGATCTACTGTTCACGGTCTATCATATAAGATTATTTCAATTAATTATGGCAATAAGACATGTAAGAATAGATTTTCAAGGGGTGATTTCTTAGTGTTTATTTTCATGTAATACATTGTATTTCAATTTAAGAACGATTGTCAATCTTGCCGAAATATCTCATCTTTACCAGTTTTGAGCGAGCCACTCAAACCTACATTACTAGATTCTAAATATATTTACATTTTGGCCTTTTCAATACGATTTTATTCATTGAAGTTAACAAGCACAGTTTTGAATTAAGACAAACAAACAAAACAATATTTATTAATCAATCGGACTGGACAGAGAACATTTATTACTTTTTGCATTTGCATGTCACGTAGTGCAGGCAAAGAACATAATCAAAACCAAAATGAACATTTATCTGAATATTCTCAAGGACCCTATGCATCTAGGTCTGTTTGATTAGACGTTGTGTTACAATCTGTTTAAATTTTTAATTGTTGGAGATTTACTAAACTGTTTTCGTATGGTCTGGTCCTTATAAGATTTTAAGGTCGTCAATAACATGCATGGAATATTTGCCACTAAACGTTCAGCAAATATCAATGAAAAAAAAAATCCATGCATGAAACGGAAATTACCGAAAATAGCCATTGGATATATTGCATTAACGACAACTTTATATGATAATGTCATTCATTTTGTTTAGTACGATTCGCCAATTAGAATGAAAAAATAATGATTTGATAAAAGTAAATCATTTCGGAATCGCTGTGATATATATGAGACTGCAATCCAACAGTACAAGCTAAACAGTTTTTATTGTTTTAATATCTTTCCAATTGATTTGTGATGCTCCTTACTCTGAACCACACAAATTATTTGCATTGACAATCATAACAGTATTGTAAACGTTTGTAAAATACCAAAAAAACTGACAAAACGTATCAAAATTTTAATCCTATGGGAGAAAAAAATAATCATATAGGACAAAGTTTATCCTAGGGAGAACAAAGTATCATACAGGACAAAATTTATCCTAAGGGAGAGAAAAAAAATCCGGTAGGAATAAATTATCCTATGGGAGAGAAAACATCCCACAGGACAAAATAAATCCCTAAGGAGAAAAAATAATCCTAAGGGACATTTGTTTCTGAGAAAAAGTCGATCATGATAATCCTATAGGTTAAAAAAAATCCCATCGGATTTAACACTTTTTTTGAAAATCCTACAGGATTTTAAATCCCGTAGGATATTAATTTTATCCCATTAAAAATATCCTACGGGATTATGACTTTATCCTATAGGATTTCATAAAATCCTGTAGGATTTTTAAAAATCCTATGGGAGAAAATAATATCCTACAGGATTTTGTCACTGTTTTCACTCCAGTTGCCGAACTAGGCGAGTCACACCAAAATTTTTTTTGTATTGTTTTATCTATCCCCAGAGGTACATTATTGCCAAATTTGATGAGTCTACCGTTAAAAAAAGTGTGGTTCCAATTTGCACTCATGAGAAGTGCAAATTAATCCAAGAACATGTTGGCCAATAATTTTATTTTTCATGTTAAAGATTCCCTGTACAATATTATATCTAAGGGTACCCTGTAAAAACACGAAATTTAGAAAATCGTGACCAAGGGAACTAACGACTAAAATCATGATTGTAAAATATAACGATGTTCCTATAATTTGCAAATAAATTTAGCCTTGTATTATTCCGTTAACTTAAACTCGTTAACTAACTTTTTTTTACACTGGGCATCCTACTAAATATCAGACAAATAGTCAAAAACAAGATAAGCGACCATCCTTAAGCCAGATTGTTTGGTCGAACAAAGTCGCTGTAACTTGATATATCTAATCTATTTCTTTTCGAAAAATTCAGCAAAATACAATGATGTTATTGTTACATTAATGCCTGCCTGACAGGCAAAAAGGAAGAAGAAATTGAACAGTCCCAGAAAATGATTTTAATTAATTTTTTAAAAGATCGCCGGTATGAGGAATACCAATCTAAACATAAAAGTAATTATTTGTTACAACGTTGTCCTACTGGTATTTTGCGCTTATGAATACAGCATTTGTCATGTTTACAAACAACGAAGCTGTATCAACATAAGGATCAATTCTGTTGCCGAGTAGTCTGTGTCACACTTTAAAACTGATGAACGAAATTCCAACAAATTTGAAAAGCATCTTCTACAGCACATGAAGTTGTGCACTTGCTATTCTAACTTTTGATCATAGGGATTTTTATGGGTCATCATACAAAACCAAATGCATGGACTGTTCCAGTTCTGCTTAAAAATATGAGATGGCAGACGAAACACATCTTCCTTTGAAGACTAACACATTTTGTTCAGAAAACACAGCACAGTCATATTCAATTTAATTCATTAGACTATTGCTAATTTATTCTTGCAAATCACATACCGGTAGTCGGGGAACTTGTATCCAACTTCCAAATATTTTTTCTCACTTTGACCAGAAGGTTTTAATTAATATAAGGTCAACGCCTCTGAAAGCTATTATAGTAATCCGATAGTATCCTGTTAGGAAAAACGCAAGTTTATAGTTCAATATAACGGTGAAAAGGTGCACATCCCCAACTCCATTTCCTTTAGGCGTGTGTTACGGCGTTGTTTTTTTTTTTTTATTTCTGTTTATTTGCATTCATCATGATGCATTGAAAAATACACATTATGGAATAAAATATTCATGTGCATGATTCCTATCGATGAGTTGAAATCTTTCAACAATGTATCTAGCTAACCCCTTATTAACCGTTTATTAACTGCATATGAATATTTTAGGATATCCAGTATTACCATAGTCCATAGTCCTTAGTTATACGTAGGGCTTTTATATGATAATCAATTTCAATTGATCCCTTTCAAAATTATTGACATTTAACTTCTTACTTTTCCCTGATAGAAAGTTTTCTAAATGGCAACAAATTGCAATATAGACTTCAGCTGCTGTGTTAGACGCTTTAGTAGCAAATTTTGACATAAGTTATTTACTTACAGTCTGAATAAGAGAGCTAAACCTAGGATAATAAGTATTAAACTAAGTAAAGCTCCAACTACTGCCACTCCTATCACCCAAGGCTCTGTGTCATTGCTCTTTACAATTCCCTACGATGTAAAACAAAATATCAAACTAAGAAATGCTCGCACGACTTGTCACCAAATTCTGTATATGTACCACACTCTAAAATTTAACATGGAAGTTAAAACCAAACACATGTAATGACCTCACTCCTCTACGTAGAAATTATGGTAGCATTCCCTAGTTTGAAATTAAGATTTTAAATATACAGAAGAAGACATTTTACGTTTACAGGCGAAGACAAAAGCTGTGATATACTTTCGAAACTTGGATGATAGGAATAGCAGATTCCTAAAGATTTCTACTGTTAATGTAAAATCTTAATTTCAAACTAGGGAATGCTACCAGAGTTTCTTCTTTAATCAACCAATGGCACACACATCTGCTCCTAAGAGTTTAAACCTAGTTCATATTGCTTTTTTTCAAATGAAAATGGAATCGCTTTTTTAATCAGCTTATTGCCTCCTCTGAACGTTTGAAGGTCCCTACTGTGTATTGGCTACCCGAACTTCACATCAAATATCGTTGCATTTTAGCACTAGCCAAGTGTACTTTTAACTAGTTCCCTGAGTGGTATTAAAGATAATTGTTATACAGTATATGACAAATATGGAATTAATTAGTTTTGCAATGTAAAAAACTCCGAATGTTTTGGATACATTACATGCTATAAATGTTTCTTTTGATTCGGTTGAAAGTGATGACTTTCCTACTCTTCCACAAAACCTTATCGAACAGAAGATTTCTTATTTAGCCAAATGTTTTTTTTTTTAAATTAATTGCAAATGTATTTGCTGTCACTCATATAAAGCTTTCTTTTGTAATGAAACGTATAATACTAAAAATCTGTTATTTATGGACAGCATCTTTGTAAGTTTCGGAAATTAAGCTTTTTGATAGCTTGTTGGTATATTACTATGGGCATTAATAACGCCCCGTCAATAGAAGACTTGTTACTGTATTGTAATGAATCAAAGTTAATGGTCAAACTCAGTTAAGATCTATCTAAATTCCATTCAACAGAAAAATCTAATCATACTTATGATAGTTTTGCTTTAAGTGATCACGAAGGCTTAATTATAACTGCGGAAACGAACTCCAAGAAGATTACTTTCAATAAATTTAATATTAACAGCAACAATTGTTTCTGTTTAATACTCGATACTAAATACTAATATATACCGCAATATAAACGGATATTAGTTCCCTATTCGTTATTTTTTTAATTTTTGGACGGTGAGGATTCCTTGGTCGCTTCTTACGATGTGTATTTTTCCCAACTCGTTCGCTCGGTTCGTGTCTGAAGCGAAATTTTAGATTTCAATAACTGATATATAATTAAGTCAGGGATTTCTTTACCACAAATTACTTAAACACTTTACTAAATTCTTTCATAAGATTCGGTTTGGATGTTTGGCTGTATCTGTGAAATCTTATAACAAATGGGATACCACATCCTAATTTTTACAATGACGCAGTTTAAAGAGCATGGAATTAAAATACAGTCAATATAAACAAATTGTTTCTTTGAAAGAAATATCTTAAAGGTTATTAATTTACCATTATAGTAGTATTTTGGAGTATTGGTACTAGCATTGATATTATTTTGCATAGTTAAATACATAACTGAACATTAAAATTGCTATCCATGTATCATTACTTATGACCCTACACCCTGTCCATACTTATTTTGGCATTGCACAAGGTAATGGTTTTTTTTTCTAAAAACTGCTAATGAAATAAAAAAAATCACTTTACAAATGTGTTGCAATTCGAAGCCCTTTTCTTGACCTAGCTTCATCACGAACGTTCAAAATCCAAATATTTGAAAGCCAAGGATGTATAACAACATGAATACCTTAAAATAGCTAAATTCACCCGTGGTCAACTTTGTCAGAGGGCCGGATTTACAACCTAAATTTATAAATAATTTCTAAATTTATCAACGGAAAATTTAAGAAAATTATGTTGTAAACCATGCCAGTACCGAAGTATATCAGCAGCATTATAGAACAAGTGCTAGAAGATTGAAATAACACTTTTGTTGTAATTTGGAGCGTCTGAGGGGCTTTTATGACGTCTTTATATTTAATAAGTTGGAGGTGAATTTTAGTCTGAGAAAACATTGTTTATCTATCAATTGTAATTGGGCTTTGCACATGGTTTGTTTATCAATTGTAATTGAGTTTTGAACTAGCTTTCAGCTACTGTAAGTATTCTTATTATCGGAGATTTTAGTCTTTTGTATTTTTTGTTATTGATTTTTTGTTCTTACTACCGACCTTTCAAACTGATTTTTAAATTGAAATAATATTAATTAAGATATTTTTGCCTGATGCAAAATAAATATCGTTTATAATGACAGTATAACCTAAGCCCTGACAAACTGATGTTTTAAAGTCACATGAAACGAGTTTCTTGAAATTTTTTAAGGAAATTAATGAACCCATGCATGTATATATACTTAACTAAGTCCTTTATGTAAGATGTTTTACATTGATTACGAATCCATAACTTAAACCAATATTTCGTTTAGTGAAAACTTTGCGTGCTTATTTACTTTCGGGGTTTATTGTCGATGTTCACAGATGGTGACCTTAATAACAATCAACATAATAGACATGCAATAAATCGATGTTTAGTAGGTTTTTTTTTTAAATTTTCGTTGCATTTCCATTTCTTAATCAAACTTTGGTATAACAGTTGTGAAATGATTTAGTGTATTAATTTATTTTCTCATTACTTTTTACATTTTGCTTATCAGGGTTTTTTCTCGCACTTCCGCTGTGTGGTTGCCAAAGTAATAACGAGAGGTCGCGTGGTTAAGGTCACTGCATACGGACAAGATATCGGCGAATTGGAGTACGGGAAGACAATAATTCAATGGCAGTAGCAATTTCCGAAGATTTTGACTAAGATAAAGCATTTTCTTTGAATAGAAAGTTCGTGTACACGTATTTTATAGTTAAAGTATATAAAACATATTCAACTTTTTTTTAATTTGAAGTATCATATGACTTAAAGAAAAACTAAATAAATATATTTTTGCAGTGATGAACTAAAGCAGTGGTTCATATTCCCTATGTCAGATATGCACATGTGCTGGTCATTGACTTTAAAACTTGTCATTAGGAACTACAAAGAAAATTTTATGAACTACACACTTCAGAAGTCTTATTTGAGTCCTCAATGCTCTTCAACTTCGTACTTGATCTTGCTTTTAACGGGTTTTTTTATTCGAGCGTCACTGATGAGTCTTTTGTAGACGAAACGTGTGTCTGGTTTGAAAAATAATAAGCCTGGTATCCATGATGATTTTTTTATAAGGAAATCACACACAAGTTGCATCATTCTGTAGTCACTACATCGCAAAATATTTGACACATGGGCACAATGAGTTATTTAGGTAACAAGAATTTCACAAGACGGTTCATGGTCGTTAAATAAATACCTGAGTTGAGGAAGAAGCTGTAGTAGTCGTTGTGACAAGCGTTACTGCTGAGACTGTAATATTTAGGCTTACACCTAACAGTGTATCAATTGTGTTCACCAAAGACTGTGTTATAGTAGCTTGTCTGGAAACAATATACATAAAAAGATATCATTTGACATTAGATAAGACGCATACATCTTTAATTTTTTCATACATTCCTGTCTTCATAATTTAATTTGAAGATAACAAAACTATAAAATTTCCCTATTTGACCCTAAAACAGTTAAATGATATTGCCGTAATTTTGAAGACACTAATCATTGCGCCGTAAAAAGGTTTCACAATTAAATTACAGGAAAGAGAATAATGAACGAATGAAAATTGTATGGATTACATTTGTTATGTATAGTTGTTATCAAATTTCATCGGCCCGCATATAAAACTGAACAATCAATGTTTGCAAAAATAGAAAAATTGCCTCAAATCCATAACGTATAATCGGAGACTGTTGATTGGGAAAGTTAAGCTACTAATTAACTTTCAAGTTTTGTTGCAGAAGTATACCGAATCGTGACCTTGATAAACAATCAACACAGCTACATGGAGCACGTGAGAAATAAGTGAGACGATGGGGCGATGTTTAGTTGGTTTTTTTTTTTTATATATTTTCCATATGTTCCCATTTGTTTATTAAACTTTGTCATAACAGTTGTTAATTTATCAGGTGTATTTTAAAGATTTCTTTCTGATTCGGTTAATACTAAACTTCTTCCGCGAGTGTTTACTTTTTATTTCTTAGGCGAATTTTCCCTTCGCACTTCTTCTTCTTCTTCCGAATACGGGAGTAGACTCCTAGGTAGGAGTGTAAAACTTGCGCTGTGATTGTCGGATTTCTTATGAAATGTGTCATGTACAAGGTTACTGCATACGGAACAGCTGTCGGCGAATTAGGGAACGGAAAGACAATAATTCAAGAGCAGTAAATTTTTGAAGATTTTGATAAAATAAAGGATCTTCTCTTAAAAGATTTTCTTTGTACACGTGTTCTATAGTAAAACTTAGCCATTGAAGTATCTAAAGCATATTCATCTTTTTTTATTTGAAGTATCATATGACTTTAATCAGAAGTAATTAAAATTGACTTCTTAGAAAAACACGCATGATGATACTCTTCGGCCTATAGCTATTGTGTCAATCATGACTGTTAAAAGTCCCATTTCTCTGTAATGACAAACCATTTTCAATATCAAAAGAGTACATTCACACATCCCATCCAATCCTAACAAAAAGTAAAATAACAAAAATACCGAACACCAAGGAAAATTCAAAACGGAAAGTCCCTTATCAAATGGCAAAATCAAAAGCTCTATACCGAACGTACGGAAAACAACTGTCATATTTCTGACTTGGTACAGGCATTTCCTTATGTAGAAAATGGTTGATTAAACAACAGTGTTAAGTTTTTAGTAATTTGATCCAAGCATACTATAGCTTCTGCATGACATTTTAAAAATGCCTTTTATTTATCTGACGCTCAGATGGTCAATGATGCTGAAAGTTACTATGTTCCCAAGATAAGAAAAACGGAGAAAAAATTCTCAAACAATTCCATAATAGCAGGTGAACAACTTCCGTATGATCTCTAGCTCTCTCAGTGTAATTGCTCGCTTATTAAAATAAAATGTGTTTGTATTTATATTTACTTAATTTTTACTTTATCGAGAAAGTGTATACTATATATAAGGTATGTACTATCAACGACAAAAACTTTTGTTGTTGACGCCATTGTCAAATACACCTTTTTTGTAGGCGTCTTTTTTTAGATTAATGTGTTTGTTTGTTTAAATTTTTTAGTCAGTTGTAATGTATGTCTGTGATGTATGTCTACAAAGTTTTGACAGCTGGATCCCAATTATAGTCACATTAACCTAGTATGTCTGTTTGTGTTGCTCACCCAATTTGTCTATATAACGGAACTATAAACAACTGGCATAGAAGTGGAGGGTTGAGCTAGCTATAAAACCACGTTTAACCCACCATTTCCTTCGGAAAATGGCAGTTGTTTTTCAATTGTTCCGTTGATTGATAACTTTCGATTTTGTCAGCTTTTATAGACTTCCTCTTTTTAAGTTTGCCTTAAAGTTCGGTATTTTTGGGGACTTATTTGATATTATGATTTTTGTCTCGCCTTGACGGTATGCTGTTTCCGGCGTCGGCGGCTTCGGCGGCGGCAACAATGTATTGGTTTGTGATTAGGTCAGTTTATGAGAAACCACTAGTGGTATGTCAATGATATTTGGTATGCAGTTGTATTAGCACTGGCACATCTCATTTCCATGGAGATTATTTGACCCTGCCCCCTAGTCATGGTCTATTGACTTTGAAACTTTTGCTTAGTTTACATGTATTAGTTTGTGATTAGGTCAGTTTATGGGGAAACACTAGTGGTAGGTCAATGATATTTGGAATGCAGTTGTATAAGCATTGGCACATCTCATTTCCATGGAGATTATTTGACTCCGCCCCCTTAGTCATGGTCTATTGACTTTGAAACTTTTGCTTAGTTTACATGTATTAGTTTGTGATTAGGTCAGTTTATGGGGAAACACTAGTGGTAGGTCAATGATATTTGGAATGCAGTTGTATAAGCATTGGCACATCTCATTTCCATGGAGATTATTTGACTCCGCCCCCTCAGTCATGGTCTATTGACTTTGAAACTTTTGCTTAGTTTACACGTATAAGCATTGGCCCATCACATTTCCATGGAGATTGAGACATATCTCTGTGTCATCAGTTTTTTAGTTATACCTCCTAATTGTTCGCTACAATAATTGTTCACTAGCTTGAGTTAAGCCTCGTGACCGAATATATCTGATGATTCACTACGCGTATATTTTTGATTTGATGTGTTGTAAATTCGATCGCTATAAATATTTTCGACATTGGACATCTTAAGTTAGTTATCCTTTAATCATTATTTCTTATGTTAAGATTCACGAAATTGGTAATCCTGCGTAAAACAATGTGTGTGATTAAATTGATGTCTAATCGACGCGCATGTTTACCAGGCGTTGTCTCCATTCACACCTGTTATATATGGCATACCACATAAAGTTTTCGTAAATGTTGCTACATTTTGTATACATGTATGACTACTTTTTTTTACATTGCAGGAAATAGATTTCGAGAGTTATTAAAAAATTCTAATACCAGGCTGGAGTTGTTAGTACATTTACATTTAGGCATTAAGATCCGAAATCGCTCGTAATTTTGAGATATTTGTATCATTATTTATGTTATTTATCAAATCTTGATTGTTTAACCCTTTGGTCGCGACGTATTTAGAATGAACGTCGTGTCCTACGCGGAATTCATCTTTTACGTTGTGCAAAGGATTTTATTTAACCTCTTCAAACTGTCTTTTGGTGGGGTTAGTGTTGCTCAGTTTTCTATTTTGTGTTTTGTGTACAGTTGTCAGTTTATTTTCGACTTATGAGTTTGAATGTCCCTTTGGTATCTTTCGCCTCTCTTTTTCGGAGGTGTCAATTCTATCATTTTCACGTTATACTTTTATTCCCTCGAATTTCAAGCATCCTAGAATATATGTTATAATCAATTTTTAAGTAGAAAAGTTATTATTCTTTAATTTGGTTGGAAAACTTAGTTTTGCCCTTCTCCATAATAGGACGTACAAGTCCCTAGCACGGTCTGTCGACAAGGGACATGGTCACATGGTTTATAAAAATCAGAGAAGCAAATCATTTTTCAAATGAATTGTCAAGACTGTTTTCAATTTTTGATTGAAAAGGAAAAGGAATGATCTGGGGCCAAACAAGTCCTTAATCCTTATTTGCAACATTGCAAAACTTATGCTTCTCAAAAGAACAGCACTTACCCGTGGTCTAAATTTTCCCCGCGTGCATTTCTCTTTTAAAATCAGTAAAAGTTAGGTAATATTTAAGAAATATACCATGCTCTTATAATATACTAGATAATGGAGTGTGTGTCCGAGTGAGAACTTCTCCAAGTTAATTACTTCAGGAATATTTATCTAAAACTCATATTTCACTATTAAGCCCCATTCTTCTATTAAATCGGACGTCAGGCGCTACTCTGATATACCCTGTCTTTTGTTTTTGTTCCCTAGTTTTGTAGGTTACGTATTTTGTCGGGTACTTGATGACGGATGGCGCTTGACGTCTTGAGCCGAACAGTTTTATCATTTCATCTTTTTACTTGATTCAATTTCTGTGTGCTGGTTCATATTCTGGACGCCAGTCTTTGCTCCTTTCTATTGGAAATACGGACAACAAAAATGAAACTCAGAAATGGAAAAATACTCAATACCAAACTCGTTCAAAGGGTATCTACACGTCTCAATCTTCAAAATCGCTTATATAAAAATACCACAATCGCTAACATTTTCAATAATACAAATCGTGGTTACATGTACCCTTCTATCGATAAGTGTCATGCCAAGAAATAACTTACATATCCCCGTCTTTCCAATGACAATACGGTTAGGTCCACGGTTAATGGTCGCACATTTTCCTTAAATTTTGAAACTGATATTAATTGAAAAACTAACAGAATTATCTATGTCGTAACTACAACCCCCGTTCCCTTTTCACGAATGTGACCTACCGAATTAGATTATTTACTGGCTTTGTAATAACATGAGCAACACGACGGGTGCCACATGTGGAGCAGGATCTGCTTACCCTTCCGGAGCACCTGATATCACCACCAGTTTTTGGTGGGGTTCGTGTTGCTTAGTCTTTAGTTTTCTATGTTGTGTCATCTGTACTATTATTTGTCTGTTTGTCTTTTTATTTTTTTCCATGGCGTTGTCAGTTTGTTTTCGATCTATGAGTTTGACTGTCCCTCTGGTATCTTTCGTCCCTCTTCTATTTACTTACATGAAACAAACCGGGATGCGGTATTCAGTACGTAGGTGAAACCGGACGCTATTTATCTAAACGCACGCAAGAACATCTTTATCGTTTAAAAAGACCCCATCAATTTAAAAGTATCATTTATCAACACCTTAAGAAGCACACCCATTCTTTTAAGTATTTAACAGTTCAACCTTTAGAAGTAGTAAATAAGCAACCTGGGGAATCTCATTCAAAATTTGTACGTTCACGGAAAATAATTGAATTAAATTGGATTAAAAAATTACAGACAGTCTATCCTCTCGGTCTTAATGATAATATCATGGGAATTGGTAATGTATCAAGAACCGATTCTGTTAACATTTTGGATATAGTTTATAAAACTGTTCGTAAAAATCGTTCTCATGGACGTAGAATAAATCACAATCAGAGGAAATTTCGTTCTAACAATACAAATATTTCGGACCTAATTACTATTTCAAAAAACAACAGCAGACATTATCTGTTAACCAAACTTTGTACTTTACCTGTTAATAAATTACATCAAATTTCGGAGGATTGCAACACAATTCCATATTGCAGTCCCAAGTATGAAATTGTCCAAATTATAATTGCATATTGTTATTCTAAACTGTTTCCCCAAAATTGATCGCCCTGAAGACCACAAAACACATTTCATTAAAATCAAATATGCCAATAAAGGTTTTGATTTTGTAAATATTGCCGGTATTTTAATGATCATTTCGTAAAAGAACAAATTCCTGGTTATTTTGATAATACTGAGCTCCCTCTAATTTGTTATGTTTACAAAAAATCTACACGGAAATATGTGTTTAATTATAGCGAGGTGGTAAAGATGTTAATATCGGTGACTATACACCTACGTCATGAAATTGCAGTAATTCCAAATACATTTATGGTCCCAGTTCCCATGTTATAACAGGAGACCTTAACATCGTCCAGGACCAAGAGTTGAAATCTTACAAGTTTCTTTAGTAAAAGACCTAAATATCGTCCCCCGTCAATTATTAATTGGAATGAGTGCCGTAACATCATCCACGACTCACTCCGTACTTACTGCACGAAATGGATAAAACGAGAAAAAGCTGACAAAAAATCCTTAGATTCTTTTTTTAATTCAGTAATGAACATAGTTGATATTCGTATTAAACATTTTAAAGAACATTAAAATTTTTACTCCTAACAACAACCATAATAGCCCTTTTTCTTGTATCAAACATACTGTAAGCTAAAAGAACTCGCCAAGGAATTTATTTTTGTCCCGGCTGATAAGGCTGCCAATAATATCATTATTGTTTGACGTAAATTTTACATTGAGGTCTGCAAAAGGAAATCACGAATTCACCAACATTAAAACTGACTCCATTTTCGGGAAATGACATCTGTAACAAACATAAACTTGTAGCTACCTCTTTACAAGCAGAACCAACTACAATGAAAGTTCCAACTATGTACTAGCTTCCGAAGCTGCATAAAACACCTTACAAATATAGATTTATTTCGTCTTCAAGCCATTGTTTCACTACTAAACTGTATATTCTACTAACTGGTATACTTGGTACAATCAAAAACCTGGTAATAAATTGTTCAAATAAGGCCTTTAAAAATAGTGGAATTAATTACTTTTGGAGTGTCAAAAATTCGTTGGGAGTACTTGATAAATTGCATGCTTATATTGGTGATTTCGAATCTGTTCAAAGTTTTGATTTTTCTACCCTATAAACCACTTTGCCTCATAATCTCATAAAGAAAAAATTCACACGTCTAATTAAATGGTAATTTAAAAAGTCAGAATGCGAATATATATGTTCAAACTCTTTTAGGTCATTTTTTAGTAACAACAAGCAAAAGACCTATGTCAATGGGACCTGCTTTGATACGATAACTGCACTTGATTTTTTACTAGAAAACATTTTTGTTCGCTATAGAGATTCCGTATATCGTCAAGTTATCGGAATTCCAATGGGGACTAACTGTGCACCACTTGTTGCGGACCTGTTTCTGTATTGTTATGAGTTACAATTTATGACTAAAATAAGCAAAGACCTATCGAAACAACATCTGATACAAAAATTTAATAACACTTTTAGATATTTGGATGATATTTTGGCTCTCAATAATGACGACTTCAGTATGTACACTAAAGAGATTTATCCTGCTGAAATGACTTTAAATAAAGCTAATACTAACAATAAACACTGCCCTTTCCTGGATCTTGATATCTATATCTTTAACGGGAAGCTTAATACCAAAATTTACGATAAAAGAGATGATTGTTCATTTCCTATTGTTAACTATCCATTTTTAGATGGTGACGTTCTCTTGTCACCTTCTTCTGGTGTTTATATATCTCAACTTGTTCGATTCGCTCGTGTATGTAACAACGTATTTGATTTTAACGAAAAAAATCTCTGTATTACTGAAAAATTATTACACCAGGGTTTTCGATATCACAAACTAGTCAAAACATTTACTACATTTTATCATCGGTACAAGGACATCATTCGTAAATATAAATCAACATGCAGACATCTTATACGTTCAGGTATTTCACATCCAATCTTTTATGGTTATATTCTATACAAAGCACAAAAATGTCGTCATTCACCTCAAAAGCTAACCAAACCTTTAAACAGACTTATTCAGAAGGGATATAGTTACGATACTGTTGTCAGGTCATTAAAGATGGCATATTTTGGAATTAATATTGATTCACTTATAGGGTCTTTGCATCGGAAATAAACACATTTATTCTAAAACCAGTTGTTGGCATGATACGGGTTATGTTCTTCTCATATATGTTATGATAGTATGATAACGGGAGGGATTGTGCTTGATTTTCATATGAGGAAGACATAATCTTTCAATCAGTTTAATTGAGGTCTGGAGCTGGCATGTCAGTAACTGCTAATAGTCCTTTGTTAATTTATGTATCATTGTCATTTTGCTGTTACCTTCTGTATCTTCTGTTACCTATTCTGACATCGGACTCGGACTTCTTTTAAACTGAGTTTTACTGTGCGTATTGCTGTTTGTTTGTTTATTCTACATTTGCTAGAGGTATACGGGGAGGGTTGAGATCTCACAAAACATGTTTAATCCCGCCGCATTTTTGCGCCTGTCCGAAGTCAGGAGCCTCTGGCCTTTGTTAGTCTTGTGTGGTTTATTTTAACTATAGTTCATCTATATGTTTCGGAGTTTAGTGTGACGTCCATTTTCACTGAACTAGTACACATTTTTGTTTAGGGGCCAGCTGAAGCCCGCCTCCGGGTGCGGGATTTTCTCGCTGTGTTGAAGACCCATTGGTGGCCTTTGGGTTGTTTTCTGCTCTTTGGTCGGGTTGTTGTCTATTTGACACATTCCCCATTTCCATTCTCAATTTCATGTTTATATAGATTATTGCGCTAAGATTGTCTGGAGGGATGTTTTCAATACAACATTATTTAAAAATACAAATCAAATATATTTCAATCTATTCCTGATTTTCAGAATCAAATTTGAATCTATTTACTTTCATTAAACATTGCAGTTTCGGTTTATATATACCATTGACATGGGTTTACCATCATAAAATGACAGTTAATTTAGTAAAATAACTTAATTACGCAGTATCTTTATTATTTCAATTTTGGAAAGTACATGGTAAGAAATAGAATATATATAGCTCAATCGTCGCCAATTGTCACACCAAAAAGATATTTACACAGCAATTGTAGTTTGTGTTTATTCATTCATCGACAAACTGCTATTTTTGGCGACGCTTCTTCTTTATGTGAATATAACCAATTTTACAAAAATCTGAAAACTCGTGTTTATAACGCCACTTCGAAGACTTTAAAAATATTTCGTCATCATTCACCTTTTCCTAGAGCCTTTCTACAGCTGCTTAAAACTTGAGATTAATTTTGTAATTGTCTCAAAAATGTTTATATTCGATGAATTTACAGGGTCTAATTAACCTGAAATGTCTCTTCTCCCTTCAAAACAAGCACGCAATCAAAAAACGATATTTACTATATGCTTAGGATGTATGAAATTCATAAAGTGTTGTTTTCATTTTTTACAGCACTGGGTCGATACCGCTGCTTGTGGACTATCAGTCCCCGAGGGTATCATCAGCTCAGTACAAACCATTCTTAAATTATCCGTTTATGAATTTAGAAATTGTTACTAAAGTTTCAACTCCCTCTAGCAAAGTTGACCTTAGATGGATTTGGCTATAATTTTATAGGTCCTTCATGATAATATAGCTATTCATTTTTTGTTTCGGTTATTAGACCTCCTTGTCTTTCAAATATTCGGCTCCAAGCGTTCTTGATGAAGGTAAATCCAGAAAGCCCTTCGGACGCATGAAATTGTTGATTTCATTTTTTTCAGGCAATTAATTAGAAACCAATTCGTCAATCTAACATGCCCAAGTTTAACTAGTTTAACCCTACCACATATTCGTGAGCATCTTCTTAGTCATGAACCTCATTAATGGATGTCTGCTGCTACATATTAATGACTTTGTCTTTTAAGGTTTTAATTATTTATGTCTGCTCTTTGATAGTTAAATTTATTCGCACAAGATTAGGAGCGAGTAAGTCCTTGACAAATTGTATAATAAATTTTCTACTGTTGAAGGCCGAAGTTTGACCGCTGGATGATTTCTGTTTTGTGTCGATGTGATGTTGTCTTATTAACGAACACCACATATTTCCTTTTATTTATTCTCAATCAATTTTAACTGTGTAACAACTTTTCTAGTAAAGCGATTTTGAAAATTGAATATTTCAATACAAAATTCTAACTTCTTTTTTGTTAAAAAACACAAGATTCCATTATTACGAAATTATGTGAGCATCAAATGTATTTACTAGGAACAGGGACATATAATTACATCAGGACCTTGTTATTTGCGTATTCAAATATTTCCAACGTTACATTGTATCATGTAATAGTGCATCAATATCAATTTTATTTCCTACAATGTAAAGGCATCGATAATATACTTACAAGTCTGGGTTTGCGATGATTTGTTTAAATATATCTTGAGGTAGTGCTAGCTCTAGCTCACTAAGTATAACAGATCGTCTTCTTCGTCCAACAGAAGCTAACGCTGCTGTACACAAGGCATTGTTAGATTCGTATTTAATAACTATCATCACTGCAAGAAGATTATTGATCTCCAGTGGAGTTCCACTACCGAATACTATGTTATTGCTGGTAGTAAATGTCAAAGGATTACTTGGATTAGACCTAAATGGAAGGAAAATGAAATAAAAATGAACAAACGAATCAATATCATGGTGGTATGAATATATTATGTGACACTGCAGTCCCATTGGCATTAAAGTGATCCCGTAAGATCGTAATTTAAGGGCAATAACTCATAAAAGAAGTCAACTTATACATTCGGAAGTGTTGACACATTTGAATATCTTGTCCTATTGATAAAAGTTTCTCTTTATCTATTATAGTTTTCAAAATAAAAAGCCAAAATTACAACAAAAAAATGTAAACATCGTAATTTAAGGACAATAACTCTTATAAAGAGTCGTCTGACAGTGTAAAAGGACAGGAATTAGATCTCAACATTCTGAACTTTATCCCCAGTTAGATGGTCTCTATCTGTGGCGGTTTATTACATAATAGACAAAACTTGCAGTTACCGCTATGCTCTTTTTTCGCCATGTTGGCCTAGTTACGGTATTTGGTAATCAGAATCATCGGACATATTTTAAAACTACAACACTAACCAGTTTACCTATTCTTAAAGGTACGGAGTGCTTCGCAGTAACATAAATGACATCAACATGAAGCAATAAGTGTTGATTGGGTATTGAATACCCACAATGTCCGGGAATATTCCCGATTTCATTAGCTTGTTCACACTATGAAACCTGCTCCGGGTCGGACATGAGATAGTTAACGCGTATTAATAACTCCGGTTTGCGCATGTTTAAAATCAACCCGCTCTGAGATTTTCCCTCTCAACAAAAAATAGACACGTCTGCGCCAGAATTATTACTCGCTTCTGTCCAATGTAGTTGTTTATATTTTTTCATCACAATTTCATTATTTCAAAGTCAAAAATTCTTTTACGAAATCCTGAACGGTTTGGAAGAAACCCGCACCATCTAAAACCTTCCTTTCCGTATTTGAGAATACTTGTATTTTCTATGTGGAGGAGTAAAACTCCTGCTGTATCTAGCTGTCTTCCAATAAAGCTACATTCTTATCTCCTCCTTGTTCACGTAAGACTGCATTGTGTGGCTTACAACTGATTATTGCGTTCCGCCTACGATCTGGCTTTTATTATTTAAAATGACGTAGCAAATGTCATATGTCACCATAGCAACAACCTCACTTTAACATCACCTTTCGTTCACATACAGAATGAGACAATCTCCGGCACAAGATCATATCCGTTCCATTCCATACTACGTACACTACACTCAATACCAAGTGAAGTATTGCGAAGCACGTATGGAACGGATATGAACTCTGTGCCGTAGATTGAGAATAAGAGGCATCAATGCGGATTTGTGGAGTAATAATTTTATGATAGCTTGAATATCGAATGGAACTATCTAATAAGTAATGATGATTGTGGCCAAGTTTGGTTCCAATTCTACCAGAAGTTTCAGTGGAGAAGAGTTTTGTAAAAGTTAAAATTGATTGGTGGCTGCTTTACGCCGCCTCAGCACAAAAAGGCTTGTCGCGGCGACCAAGTTATGATAATATCTCACTAGACCCTTTGGTAAGTAGTAAAATTTGATACGCATATTTCAGATACACTTTATTAATTTGAAAACCAGGAAGTATATACCAACTCGCACTCTGTAGCTACTGTTTAAAAAAGAAGCTGACGTTATCAAAGGGTCTTCCAATACTCATGAGTCAAGAAAAAATAGACAAAGCAACGGCAAAAAACAAAAAATATCAAGACAAGCAAGTCAACAAAAAACTACAAGAAAAACCAAGACTGAACCCTACCAAATGAACAGTTGACACAGATATCTGTCTCGCCTATTGGCATAAAATTTAGAAAAAGACAATCTGATGGACAGCAACATTGCTTATTAATTTAAAACACTGGACCATGATCTAATGGGCAGGGCCTGAAAATGGTCGACAAACTGAGATGTACAGACAGTAATGTAACTTTATAGAAAATATCGTTGTTTATTGTAAGTAGTTCCTATCAATATAACTGATGAAGCAGAAAAACTTAACATTGAAAATTGCTAATTAATTCAAAGTAACTGGACCATGTCCTAGGGGGCACGGCCTCAAAATAGTGGTCAAACTGATATGTACTGATAGTAATGCAACTTTATACAAAATATCATTGATCTATCACAAGAAGTTCTTGTCAAACTGACTTAAACAGAAAAAATTAACATTTAAAATTGCTAATTAATTCAATGTCACTAGACCGTGTCCTAGGAGGCAGGGCCTCAAAATAGTGGTCAAACTGATATGCACTGGTACATTTTGTAGTAATGCAACTTCATACAAAATATCATTGATCTATCATAAGTAGATCCTATCAAACTAACTTAAGCAGAAAACTTAACATTGAAAATTGCTTATTAATTCAAAGTCACTAGACCGTGTTCTAGGGAACAGGGCCTCAAAATAGTGGTCAAACTGATATGTACTGATAGCAATGCAACTTCATACAAAATATCATTGATCTATCACAAGTAGATCCTATCAAACTAACTTATCAAACTAACTTAAGCAGAAAACTTAACACTGAAAATTGCTAATTAATTCAAAGTCACTAGACCATGTCCTAGGGGGAAGGGCCTCAAAATAGTCGCCAAACTCATACGTACGGATACTAATGTAACTTTATTCTAAATATCAATGATCTGTTACAAGTAGTTCCCATCAAACTAAATTAAGCAGAAAACTTAACAATTGTTGACGCCGTCGTCGCAGAAGCTGTCGCCGTCGCCGGAAAAGCAATCCCTATGTCTCGCTTTCCGCGACTTTCGTCGCAGCGAGACAAAAACGGGATGCTATTAAGTATGGCAGAACGGCAAGAAGTGTTCCACATCTGGCACCCGTCATGTTGCTCATGGTAATAAACAATTCGATAATTAGTCGCATCTGGTGTTTTCCTTATCATGGAAAAAAGGACGTGATTGTGGTCATGACAATTAGAACACATCCGTGGTCATTTGTGACACAGATTTCCGTAACGGTTAATCAGCTCGTGACAGCTCAGCTCTTCTTGGCACCCTTAGTTCAATAGCACGCTTGTAAGCAGCAAAGCTTTTTCAATGAACTATTTATAGCAATAATCAGTTGTCGTTGGTTCATGTCTGTCATATTTGGTTTTCGTAAATTTTTTTGTTATAAATTAGGCCGTTAGTTTTCTCAATTGAATTGTTTCATATTTCATGTCAGGGCCTTTTACAGCCGACTATACAATATGGGTTTTTCTCATTGTTGAAGGCCGTACGGTTGCCTATAATTGCTTACATCCACTTCATTTGAACTTTGGTGGATAGTTGTCTGATTGGCAATCATACCACATCTCCTTATTTTTATATTTAACAATTAAAAGAAATGGGAATATTTCCTCAATTACATATTAGTGACTGTGAATTCGCCAAAAAAATTTAGAAAATAGCAAGAGACAATCTAAAACAATTGAAGAAAGATGGAAAACACCATCCTAAATATAAAAAAAAAATGCATAATAGACAATGTCAACAAAACACTACATAGAAAGCAAAACAAAAACCACGTGATGGTGGTGGTCTATTAATTTATGTCAAAGATTCTATTTCAGTTAAAAATCGACCCAATTTATCGGTAAATACTTTAGAAACTTTCTCGTTAGAAATAGAATTACCAAAATTAAAACCTTTCTTAATTTGTTGTTGATAGACCACCAAATCCCCTCAGTCATTGGTAGATCTTTTTGAGGAGGAATTTGATACAGCTCTTTCAGATAATTAAAGAGATTATTTTAATGGGAGACTTTAATATCGATTTGATAAAAATTGAAAATAAAAAATGGATGAATTTCATAAACCATTTTAATCTGCAACAACTAGTTAACACTGCAACACGTATTTGTGAAAGATCAGAGACTCTTATTGATCATACATGTATGTACACTACTAATCCTGAGTATATTACGCCTTGTCATGTTCCCTCGTATGCTTTAAGCGAAAACTACTCTGTATCCTTAAATAGAAAAATCAATATAAAGGTGAAGAAGGGAAATCATATCGAAATAAAATACAGGTGTTTCAAACATTGTAATGAAGATGCCTTTTGTGCAGACTTACTTCAAATCCCATTTCATATAGTTAAATGGAAGATGATATTGATCTTGCTGTCGACAAAGTTATTGACAAGCAACAATGAAAATTAAAAGAGTCAAATCATTTAAACAAGCAGAATGATTCAATGAAGAAATTAAAAATTCCATTCAATACATAAATATGTATCATTAAAAAAAGACTGGGTAAACTTTAAAAAGTGGAGAACTAAAACGTCGTTAATATTATATGCAAAAAAGGAATATTATCAAAACGCTAGAATCTAATTCATAACAGTGTAGACGAGACCATTCGTTGGCGCGCTCAATTCTCCAATTAACTGGATCAGATCAGGTAACCGTTTGTCTGTTACGCCTACTTTTAAAATACGTTGTTTACACAAGGGACATTTAAACGTACGGGGTCACCAAAGGTTTCTCAACGCCTGAAAACAAGTAACTAAAAAAAAATACTACAGACGTATTGATTAACATTGAATATTTTGACATTCTTCACCGACAATCGATAATCAAATTATGTATCATACCGCACGTTCTTTAAACATTAAAATAAAATTTCACTAGCTTCAAAAGTAGTAATGAATGTGTAAGCAATAACCTTTTTCTAACTAAAAAGCGATTTTCCAATTGTCGCTTTCTAAAATTTGTACTGGCTCTTCGTATCTTTTAACTTTTCTAAAAGTATTCATTTTTCGAACGAATAAATGATAACTTTAATGGTACAATTAAAAAAAAAAAAAAAAATATATTTTCGTACGGTCTTTATTGTACTTGCAAAATATAGGACAGTAAAAAGCTACATGTATTTAGACCTACCTTAATACAATTTGCATTTACTTTATGAAATAGTAATCTTTAAATTAAATATCTAAATATAATTAATTGTTGAATGAATTTATTTACTGGAAAGCTAGAATTCAAATTAGTTGGTCCAACGTTCTACTGATTG